TTTTTTTTTTTGTGTTATTTACTGATGTGGAAAGGCGTACTGGGCGTTTTGTTCAAGGAGAGGTCCACACGTACGTATTGCCCACCTTGTCGCATAAATACACCTAAACATACATACAAACAGGTAGTCTGACAGACACGTACTTTCGCCGTTTCACGTGGGTGTATAATAGCTTAGACAAATACGTCGGTGAATAAGAATAAAAATTGTGCGGCGAAAATAGTTGCAAGATAAAAGGCATATTAAATACAGCCAACATGTTAGCGGAGTTGCATCGTTGCCCGAGCTTGTTCCACACAACAGATAGTCAATGGTCTGTTATGGTGAAAATAAATGAATCGGCTGAACGGCTCAGTGTTTACGTGGCGGCAGGTGACGGGGATTGCTACAAGGATGAGTTTGACGAGGTGAGTCTTTTAAAGGCAAAAACTTTTCTCGGCGAGCAAGTCAGCTGGGCTTACTTTTTCAATGTTATGCAAGAAGCCTTTGACCACGCAAATGTTACTGTCAAGGCGGCGACGGACACCGCTGTTGAGGTGTTGTGTCATGCCGCCATCGGTGATCCGGAAAAGTGCAGCATTTGCCTGAAGGTGGGCAAGACAGATGAGGACCTTTTTCCGGTGATTGTGAAGAGTCTGGTGGATGTTTACCACATCCAGCTGTACTCTAGAGAGAAGGAACGCCAACTGGAGGAGGTGGCGGCGGAGGCAACACAGGCTCGGATGCAAGTGGAGCACCTCGAAAAGGAGATCCGTGTACTGAAGGAAAGTAATGTACGAAAAAAGAAACAAGACGTCTACAATATCCAACGGATAGAGGAATTGCGTGCGAAGATTGCAGAAGCAGAGGAGGAGGCTTGGAGAGCAAGTAGCACGAAAGAGCGTGTAAAAATCCACAGCAAGAGCGATCATAGCAAGACAGTTCCTGTTAACAAGGGCCGCATTCGACAGCCTCTGGGGGATGCTGAATGCAAACAATACGAGGTTGAACTCCTGCGTCTCATCAAGAGCCGCTGGTGTACTGACGATAACACGGACCCGAATGCAGTATACAACTGCGTAATTGTACCTTTCACTCCAGAAGAGCTTTCACAACGGACACGAAATTTCACCAATAAGAGATGGGAGGTGGTATGGAAATCCCTCGATAGATTGGACGAGTGGGACTACAATGTATTTGAGATTCAGACAGCTATGTGTGGAGATGATTACTCATCCTTGCAGAATCAGCCAAATGGCGGTTCTCTCTTTGTGACCATGTACGCGCTTCTGATAAAGTATGCATTCCTCGTCAAGTTTAACATTGACGAGCAGATCGCCTTAAACTGGATCAGCAACGTTGAAGCTGGCTACCACGGCAACCCATACCACAACTCCATGCACGCTGCAGATGTGCTACACATTACGCATTATATACTGAACAAAGGAGGAATGATAAATCGGTGCCAGTTGTCCGATAGACAGGTGTTTGCCGCTCTCTTTGCTGCAGCTATTCACGACTATAATCATCCTGGTGTTAATAACAACTTTCACATCAAGACACAGTCCTATAGTGCAACGCTTTATAACGATCGTAGTGTGTTGGAAAATATGCATATTGCTAGCGTTTTTGAACTTATGAAGACCCCAAACTTCAATATACTTTCTAGTTTTTCAGAGGAGCATCGAAGAGAAATTCGGGATACAATTATTGAGATGGTGCTTGCGACGGATATGGGTTTACATGGAAAGTATGTGGCACAGTTTAAGCGACGGCTGGGGGAGCACGCTGCCTTTACGGACCGTGATGACCAAAATCTGGCCCTAGCCATTGCGTTAAAGATGGCTGACATCTCAAACTGCGGGAGGCCACTCGACATTTACCTCCGATGGAGCTCAAAGGTGTCTGATGAGTTCTACATGCAGGGTGACCGGGAACGTAATATCGGTATGCCATGTAGCCCATTCATGAACCGTCTGGAGCCTGCTCTTGCCAAGGGGCAGATTTCCTTTATGAACTACATTATTGTACCGTTCTTTGAGATGGTGGCAGAGTTGGTACCCAACATGCGTTTTGCTGTAGAGTGCGCCGAATCCTGCAAGGCGTACTGGATGCAGAATGGGCGGGAGTGACGCATCCGCGTGGAAGCAGTGAAAATGAAAAATGTGCTCCTTTAGCGTTTTGTTACCACAATACCTAGGCCCACCCCTTTTTTTTGTCCATGTATAGCGGGGAACTGTGTATGAAAGGGTCGTCTGCGCTACACCGAATGAAGATGTAGTACTGTGCATCAACTGTTCTGAAGTGTGCACTGACCTTTCGACATACTTCGACGAGGTACGGGACCAGTAGAAGAAGCGCTTCCCGTTATTGTTACCTTAAACTTTTTGTGCCCGGCTTTTTTCTTTTCTTTTTTCCTTCCACACCATTGTGTTGGTGTTGGGCCGCTATCCACAAAAGGGAGCGAGATGAGCACTCACCTCTCAGAGCTGTGCGCGGGCGGCGGGGTAGAGCCCATCATCGAGCGCCTCAAGCAGCTGTGCCCGGCGCGTCTCGCACTCGAGGCGGAGGAGGTAGAGGACGGCGTCGCGGCCGGCTTTACCCGGGAAGCACACGACCGGATGCACCAGACCTTCGGTGGCGTTTGGGGCTACCAGGACGACGACGGCAGGACAGCCCTGCATTGGGCGGTGGCCATGCGGAATTTCTCTCTTGCAAGCATGCTCCTGAGCGCCCCGTACTGTGCCCTTGCGTGCAGCGAGGATCACGACGGTGCGTCACCCTTCATAACGGCGTGCATGGTTGGGGCACCGGAGGCATTCCTGACGGAGCTGCTCACGGCTGCAGCGGAGCAACGGTGGTGGAAACTTGCGGAGAGGAGAGCCGCAGTGGGGGCGGAGGCGGAGGCGGAGAGCACAGACGGCGTAGAGGAGCTCGTTGCGGAGCATACAAAAGCTGTCGTGAATCAACCAGATATCCACGGTAACACACCACTCCTGCATTCTGCCGGGCGCGGTAACATCGCCATGGTGCGCTTCTTGCTGAACCTGGGGGCATCGATTGATCAACAAAACAAGCGTGGACAATCGGCGCTTCATCGCAGTACGGGTCGTGGCGCGACTGACGTCGTTGAGGAGCTTGTTTCGGCAAGCAAGAGGACACACAAGCCAGTGGAGCACCGACGGTGGATGAATCTTCAAGACTACCGCGGTGAGACCGCCCTGTTCTACGCATCGATGGACAACAACGAAGAGTTGGGCCGCTACCTTCTGCGCCACGGCGCCGATCGTGCTATCCGGAACAAGGAAGGAAAGGAGTTCTGGGAGGTCTGATCCCACCACACTTCTCCCCGCTTCCCTACTGTTAAAAGGAAAGGAAAACGCACGAAAAAAAAAAANAAAAAAAAAAAAAGAAGCAACAGAACGGAAAACAACAAAAAAAAATCAGGTTGTTGCTGATCTTCAGTGATCTTATGTGCTTGCCTGTTTCACTTTTGTTTCACACGCGTGGTGCGTGCGAGATGCTACCTGTCTCTTCTGTGCTGTCCCCAGGTGTGATAAGGGGGAGAAAAAGGGTAGTAGCCCACACACACACACACACACGTGCACACCGCTAACCGTCGAAGAGGCAGCCATGAAGCGTCGTGAGGAGCGGCGGAAGCGGGAGCGTGAGTGCATCCCGTCTGCACTCGCCGCCCTCGTCGCGCGCGTTTCCCCGCATGATGACCCGTCGGCACCATTGCGTTACTTGGAAACGTTCGCCACGCGACAGCGAATAGACGACGGCGATGACGGTGGTGGCGTTCTTGTTCTCGTTGGCGATGGGCTGGCACGCCTCTGCAAGGAGCTGGGCGACGGCACTTGCAGCAAGGACCTCCTGGCGGTCGCGCGTCGTGTGCCGCGTAGTCAGTCGTCAGCTGACTGTATCGATGTTACAGAGTTGTGTTTTGCAATTGGTCAGGCCATTGCCCCTGTCAATGTACATGAGCGGCGGCGGAATGTCGGGAGTGCGGCTCCCATTGATGAGAATGCCCCGCTGTTGAAGTACTATAAGGGTGATCGATTTGCCACTCTGTTGGGTTCTTTCGCCACAGAGGACGTGGATACGGAGTGGAAGAAGTTCCTTGACTGTTTGTCTTCGCCGCTACCGATGACACTGCGAGTTCACCAAAATGAAAAGATGTTGCGGCACGTTGCCCAACAATTTCTTCAGCACGACAAAGACCTGTGTAAGGTTCTGCAGCCTGTTGCACCTCTGTTGCCGTCTTACTCTGGACTTTATGGCTGCGCGCATGCCGCGTACCATGCAGACCCGCGTGTGGAGTACATCTGCCGGACGCTCCACGCTGCCAACGCCGTGTCATTCCAAGAGGTTGTATCTGTGTTGCCGGTGTTAGTGGCGGGCATCCAACCGCATCATGCGGTGCTGGATATGTGTGCAGCACCAGGTAGTAAGACACTGCAAGTTCTTGATGATATGCTCAAGGAGACGTGGAACACCTCTACTGTATCACAGGGTGTGGTTCTTGTGAATGAGAAGGACCGTGTGAAGGCTACGCAGGTCTTGCCTGCGCGGCTGAAGCGGTATCACGCACCGAACACTATTTGCATGCGATGTGATGCTGTTCAATGGCCGAGGCTGTTCTCTTCTTCTGGTGAAGGAGAAAAGACGTTTACAGAACACCGCTTCGATCGCATTATTTGTGACGTCCCATGCAGCGGCGACGGCACATTGCGCAAGGAGCCGGCATCGGCGAGCTCGTGGAGCCCTGCGTATGTAAAGTCACTCGTGCCGACGCAGAAGGCATTGCTGCGACGCGGCCTCGACTTGTTGCGTGAGGGTGGCATCCTTGTTTACAGCACGTGTAGTATGAATCCAAAGGAAGACGAGGAAGTGGTCTGCGCAGGGTTGGAGCTGTTCGGTGACGCAGTGGAGCTCCTTGATGTTAACGCTATATTGAAGGAACGCGGCGCAGTACTACACTCTGCAGGTGGCGTACTGTCGCCCAACGTGGACCAGCTACGGACTGCTATTCTCCCTTCGACGTATGACGGTCGGAAACTGTTGCGTGTGTTACCCCACCGTGACAATACAGGCGGCTTCTTTGTTGCTGCGTTTCGCAAGCGGTCACTGCCAGACTGGGCGCCACTACCGACGCTGCGCGAGAAGTTAAATGAGTGGACGAAAGGAAAGCTGTGGGCACCTGTTGCAAGGGACGACACAGTGTGGTGCGAAATCGCGAAGTTCTACCAGTTTGACCCTGATTGCGCCAGCAACTTTCAATACTACAGCGCCTTGCAGCAACAGACAGATGAGAAGGAAGAGGAGTCGGCGCACGGCCTGGTGCCTGTTTACCACCTGAACTCGAATGGTGGTCCCTGTCGGCGTATCGTGTTGGTGACGTCCGCTGCGGCGCGCATGCTCTTCGGGACGCGACCGTACAAAGGCCCCGGTGTGGAGATTGTCTCTGTCGGTGTGCGTGCATTCGAAGCGTACGACGGAAAGTTCCTCGCGGACGCGCCGTGCCGCTGGCGGGCAGTGGTCGAGGCAGCCTCTTACCTCGCTCCGCTCATGGGAGCACGGAGGATGGTACTTAGTGCTGCGCACCACCCACAGCTTCTGAAGCAGCTGCTCTCCAATGGGTTTGTGTGGCTGCAGGACCACTGGCGTGTTATTTTGGGCCATGCCTCCGCTGCACAGGATGGTGTACTGCCGTTTCTTCGCCATGACGGAAAATTGCACACTATCCTTACATCTACCGAGTGGACGGAGCCCCCCACACATGAAGTACAGAGTATGCTTGCCGAAAGCGTAATGGTTGGGGGAGTTCTACTCGGTCTTGTGGGTGGCAAACTGGCAGGCGAGGAGGGCCCTTGGTGGCTGAGTGCAACACTGAGCGGCTCAAAACTCGAGTTGGCGGTGGACGCCTCGCTGCGCACATTCGGCCTTCTCGCTTTCTTGGGTGTTGATGGGACCAACGTGACGTCACCCGCTGATGCTGCCAGTGTTTGATGGGGCTGGAGGAGGATTTGATTTCTCATTAAGGGCGATTAAATTATGTTGTTATCCGCATTCGCTGTCGCACAACGGCACAACGGCAAAAAAAAAAAAGAGCAACAAATTAATTTGAAAATTGACTGTGTGTTGTTTCGGATTTCTTCATTTCTTCTTTTCTCACAAAAAAAAATATTGTGACTGTCCTCGGGGCCCTGCACGCTATTTGGATTTTTTTTTGTTTTTGTGCTTGTCGTCAGGGATATTAGGCGTGAACGCACGCTATGCAAGTTGGCGTTCAGGACGATGAGTCGAAACGTTGCACGTTCCCCGGCTGTGAGCAAGTAGACTTCCTCGCCGCGCGCTGTGGGCTCTGCGGTGGCATGTTCTGCTGTGAACACACAGCGGCGAGCGCGCACAGCTGCCCCGCGTTCGATAAGCGGTCGCTCCTGTGCCCCATATGTGGCCACCACGTTCCATTGGAGCACAGCGGCCAGTCACCGGACGAGGCGGTCTCACGGCACATTGACCGCGGCTGCTGCCCAGCGCCGTCACCGAAAGCGAGGAAGGAACGCATGAACTACTGCAGCTATGACGGTTGCACCAAGAATGATCCTGCAGCGGTAATATGTGAGAATTGTAGAAATATGTACTGCATCGAACACCGAGCACCCGCGCGTCACCGTTGTAGGGCGGCACGGAAATTGCCTGTTGAATCTCCACCGCCTCAATCCCCCGGTTCGGTCTCCACTTGTGCTCAGATGCAATTAAAAAACAGTCCGTGCAACACGCCCAGTACGGCTTTTGGTAAAAAAACGGAAAATAGCGTAACCCCGCTGATTACTTTTGCCAAGGGACTTAGTATTGCCCCGTTCTTCATGCACTTCTCAAACCAGATGGTGATGGGCCGTTTGTTGGACCTTGCTGTCAGTCAGGCTGCCCTCGGGAGTGCCAACATTAACTCGGCGAAGGGGATGTGGGTGGTGCACGTGCTACAGGGACCGCGTTCTTCGAGGAAGTACTCACTCCAGGTGGCACGTCTCTCGGCGACGCTGCAAGAGACGGGTGTGAAAGACGGCACAGTTGTGTATATTGGGAAGGAGCAAAACGTACCAGAAAGTGTTCTCACGATGCTTGTGTCTGCGCAAGATAAAAACCAACGCAAGAATCGTAAGAGCCAAGGCGATTGCATTCTGATATGAGAGGTACGTAATGCGGCTATTCGTGCATATTGGATTGCCATGTAGGCTTAATTTGTGTTTGATATGCCATGTGATGGATTCTAAGGAGATGGGGCTGTGAGCCATGACCTCTTGTTTTGTTAGAGGTGATGATATTTCCTTTTTTCCCCCGTACTCTAATTGGATCATCTGCGTCTCCTCCTCTTAACGGATGAATCATGGTTATGGGGGAGGGGGTGTTTGTGCTTCCCTCTTTGCTGTTGCGCTTTTGTTGCATCTTGCCGGGGCAACAAGTAGTAGCAACAGGGTGGCTGATGTTATATTGCGTTGTGTATTTGCGTTTTCTTTCTGTTTTTTCCTATTTTGGAGGCGCTGAGCTGAAGAGAAGCGAGAGGATGTGAATGCAAACAATGAAACATCATGTTTTAAAAAGGTGTTTTGCTTCTTTCCGTTTTACTATTATTATTATTATTATTTTGATTACTATCCTCGTGAGTGTGTCTGTGTCTGTGTCCGTGTCTGTGTTTGTGTGTGCGGGTCGTCCCCGTGGGGTTCATTGTGCCACTTCTCTCGTTCCCGCCCACCCTCCCCGCATTCTACTCGTGCTTTGTTCGGCACGCATCAAGTTCTGCGCTGCGAAGCAAAGAAGCAAAACAAATACAAAGCGTACAGAAGCAAAGCACGTGGGGAACAACACCGCCTTCTCCGTCCCCCTCTCCCCTCCCACAAAGGAAAAGAAAACAGAACAAATGACGTCGCCAGCGACAGAGCACGAACGACTCGAAACCGCCACCGCCAAAATTGTCCTTCTCGGGGAGTCTGCGGTAGGCAAGAGTTCCATCGCCCTGCGGTTCGCGCGCAATGAGTTTCACCCCAACCAGGAGACAACTGTCGGCGCCGCGTTTCTCTCGCGCAGCGTGACGGTGCCGCCGTCCTCCGCCGCTCCAGAGGCCACCGCCGGCGGATCTGTCAAGTACGAAATATGGGACACGGCGGGACAGGAGCGCTACCGCTCTCTCGCGCCCATATATTACCGCGGGGCGTGCGGCGCGCTGGTGGTGTACGATATCACGAGTGCCGATAGTCTCAAGAAGGCACAGACGTGGCTGCGCGAGCTGCACTCCAACGCGGACCCGACCCTTACCATCTTCCTGCTGGGGAACAAGAAGGATCTGGAGTCGTTGCGGCAGGTTTCGTACGAGGAGGGCGCCGCACTCGCGCAGGAGGAGGGCGTGAACGGCTTCTTTGAGACCTCGGCGAAAGATAACTTCAATATCGAGGAAGTGTTTGTAGAACTCGCGCGGACGCTCTTGGAACATGGGCTCGCGTCTTCGTCCGCCCACGGTGCGGGGGGCGCACGTGGCGCAAGGCGACTGGAGCCTCCATCACGACCGCAGAAGCAGGAGAGAGGTTGTGCGTGCTGAACGCCAAAACATGTGGGAAAATGCATGACGCTAGCCTTAGTAGTAGTAGCATCCGTGCTGTCCTAACCGCAGCGCCTGCTCGTGAAGGTGGGCGTGGACCAGTAGACGAGCGCTATGCACCTTTTTTTTTGTTTTTGTGCCCAATCAATGTTTGCTAATATGAGTGAAAAAAAGTTGGCTGCCACTACCGCAGGGAGCATGAGCTGTGCGACGGTTGGCGAGGTTCCCTGCCAAAGCCAAAAAAAAAAAAGAAAACAATGGAAGCAGAACTATATGCTTTCCTCTCCCTGTCGTTAACTCTCTTTTTTCTAGGCGAATCCCGCATTCTCTCGCAGGGGTAAAAAAAAGGTGCGTGTCTGCGTGTTTGTTTGTTTGTTTTAGTCCGATCCAGTGTGGAGAGCGGCGTCGAGGCTCATAATTCTCACGCAATGCAGGATACCCACAGGGGCTCTGCAGGAATATATGCTCCTCCTCCCCCTGTTTCTGCTCCTACTTCTGTTACGGAGGCGGTGGTGGCGCAGCTACCACCACTCGCACAACCACCACCGCCACGCTCACCCACCACATCGTCTCCAGCGAAACGCTCTGTCACTGCCAGTAGCGTTGCAGTGATACGGAGCCCAATGGCGATGAACACACTTCAGACGTGCGGTTCTGCCGTGGGTTCTTCTCCAGTTGGAGCCGTTACTGCTGCGAACGGGGCAATGGAGGACGCGTCGCCACTGTCCACCACCACCGCCGCCGCCGAATACGCGGAGATTGAGCAGAAACAGATTGAATTGCGTAGCGTCGTAGAGCACCGCATCTTAACACTTGAATGTTCACTCCAACGCCGCGAAGAAGAACTCGAGGTGCTGCGTGCGCAACTGCGCAAGACCGAAGAGGACTACCAATTTAACTACGATCTCATAAAGGATCGTGACGCGGCGTTGGAGGAAGCAGCGACACAGCTCCAATCCCTCTATGACGAGCTGAAGCGCCTCAAGTCTGAGGAGGCGGCAACGACGAAGCGGCTGGAGGGCTTAGAACAGGAGACGCATCAGCTGCGGCAGCGGCTGCGCGAGACGGAGGTGCGACGCGAAGAGGCCGTACAGAAGGTACAGCAGGCATACCAGCTCAAGGAGAGACAGCTGAAGGACGCGATCACCCACAAGGACACGGCGTTGGAGGCCGAGAAGCAGCGGCTCCACGAGGAATACCTGCGGCGATTTAAGACACTTGATGATGCCCGGGTGGAGGTGACGCAGAAGAGTGAGGCGTTGGCGGTAGAGCTAGAAGACAAATGGAAACAGCAGTTACAACGGATGGAGGAGAAGCTTAGCGCCTCCCTTGAGACGATTGATGCGGTGCAGCGTGAGAAGATGGCGTGCGAGGGGCGCTGTGTGGAGGTGACGCAGGCTCTCTCTCTTCTGAAACATGAGCACGAGACGCTCCAACAGCGGTATGATGCCGCGGTGGCAGAGTTAGCGGAAAAACAGTGCAAGTTCGAGGCGAAACTGAATGAGTGCAGCGCTATAATGGGGCAAGGTATTGCCACCGCGGAGGACAGCATCCGCCAGCATACACAGCGGGCAAATAAGCTAGAGATAGAGTGCGGCCAACTGCAGTCGCAAGTGACAGATCTACAGGAGCGCCTTCAGGCGGCGCGTCTGCAGCGCGATGAGGACGCCAAGCGCTTCTTGGAGGAGAGCCGCGAGACACAGGAGCGGTACCGCCAGGCGGCATCTCAGGTGGAAGAACAGCGCCGGACATGGATAGAGACAGAGCTTCAGCTGTCTCAGCGCGTGCAGAAGGTGCAGAGCGAGCTGGAGGCGGCGCAACAAGATAACAGCGCGCTTCTGAGTCGCGTGAGCGAGTGGCAGAAGCTACACGAGAGCTCTGAGCGTAGGCGGGTGCAGTGTGAACAGGAGCTGGAGCGCGGCCGGCGGGAACTGCAGCGCTGCAGCGAGGAAGAGCAGCGCACCGCTGCCCACGCGCAGGAACTGCAGCGTGTTGCCGATGAGAAACTGCACGCTGCCGGCCGCGACGCGGAGGACGCACGCGAGGAGGCGGAGCGGGTGCGGCGGCAACAGCGCGACGCCCAGGAGCGGTCACAGGCGGAAATGGCTCGGCTCACACGCGAGCTTCATGCCAGCGAGGCGGCGCGCCGTGCTCTGGAGGAGCACTACCACCTTGCGGAGGACGTCAACGGGCAGCGTGGGCTCATCGACGCCCTGCGACGTGACAAGGAGGCACTCGAGAAGAAGGCGCTGGAGCTCGAACGCACTAACGCGGCGATACGCGAGCAGGTGGCCTCCTTTACGATGGAGCTGCAGAACGACCCGGTGGTGAAGTCTGCGAAGGAGACACAGCGGCGCGTGCAGGAGCTGCAGGAGGATTTGCTGCGGGCCCGCGATGACAACCAACGCTTACAAGACGCGCTTCGCGAGAAGGAGGAAGAGACATCACGCTACCAGCTGGAGATTTTGCGCGCGCGCTCAACGGAGACTGCGGCGCTGCACCAGCGTGACCGCGAAGACCAACGGCTGCGGCAGGAATACCAGAACGCGAAGGAGGCGTACGAACGCATGCGCCAATCCCTCAAGGAGCAGCAATATCAACAACAACAGAGGCGACGGGCGCCGTCTGGTAAACCGGAGGAGGGTGACGAGGGTAGCGACAGCGACAAGGGTGAGGCGAAGAGCCACCGACGCGGTGGTAAGCGGCCGGGCGATGGCCCGGAGAAGGACATGGTGCTTTTACGCGAAGCGGAGCTCTGGCGACGGAAGTATCTGCAGCTGGAACAGAGCGTCCGGGATCTCCTTCGTGAACGTGACAGCCTCACGAAAGAGCTGCACCTCACACGCCAAGATGTCGACGCGCTGACAAGCGAAAAACAGTCTCTTGTCGACTTGAACTCCTTGCTGAAGGCGCAGTTGCGAGAGGCGTACCGGACGGCGCTGGAATACCCGCAACAGCAGCACCAACAACAACAACAACAACAGCAACAGAACCAGCAGCAACTTCAACCAGCAGTCTTTCCACAGCATTTAGATCTGGCGACGGTGTCTAGTAGAGCAACAGTAGCAGCAGCGGCAGGGGAGTCATCACAATCGGCGCCACAGCTGGCTGTGGATGCTGTCCTTAGCAGTGGCTCAGCAGCAGCAGCAAAAAGAGCAGCAGGTGGAGGAGCAACCCAAAAGCTGTCGGCCGACGCTGAGCGCCTTGCCGTCCTTGAAGAGGAGCTGGCCGCGATGAAGGCACATATGGTGGCGCAACGACCGGGTGCCGTGCGTCCCATGCGTCATGGCATTCCTTCTACCGCTGTTAGTACCACTACTGCGACTGCTGCTGTGGGTGCTGGGCGAGGGAGCACACGAAAGTCACTGAAGGAAAGGCCACAGCAACAGGAGCAACAGCAACAGCAGGCTTCCACCTGTGCGTCTATGAGTCGATCTCTCAGTCGGAGTGGGGTGCCGTTGGTGCAACGAGGTTCCACCGCGGTTCGCCACTACGGCTATTTGTAATTCTACTCGTTCTACTTCCCCTTTTACTTCTCCATGTGTGCATGTACTTATATTTCTGGTTGTGCGTATGTGTGTGTGTGTGTGTGTCTCTCTCTCTCTCTCTGTCTCTTTCGTGTAAGAGGGGTGCGTGGGTGTGGCATATTTGTTTTCCATCACTGCTCCCTGTAAGATTGGTATAGAAGGGGAGCGGGCCCACGGTGTGTAAGAAAAAGGCTAACCGGCAGTAAAACAAACAGGGTAAGGAAAGAGAACACAGCGGCCTTCGCATCAAAGAGGAAAGAAAGAGAAAGAACAAAAAAAAAGGAAAGAGGGGAAAAAAAGAAGGCGAAAGGGTGCAGTGAAAAAAAAAAAAAAGAAATCAGGGCAATGGGAGCAAGCAGCTCGCGTGACCGACGTTCTCGACACCAAGCCCACAATGGCGCCAACGCGCCATCGCCGCCGGCAAACATGCCCACACACTTAGCAAGTCAATACAGCAATCAGCGACATTCGTTAACCAACGGCAACAACGTGCCGTCGCGGGAGCAACAGGGTCCCCAACGTACGCCGCGGCAACAGCAACAACAACAACAACAGCAACAGCAACAACAACAACAGCAACAACCACAGCAGCAGCAGCAGCAGCAAGCGCCACCCACAGAAAACAACAACAACAATGGTAATGGAGCTTCAAACAATCAGCGTGGCGTCCAGGAGGGACAGATCGTGAAGATGCTGGCCACCATTGATGCGTCTTCTGTGAGTTATGATGCGGCTACCCACATACTGACCTTCTCCGTAACGAGTGTGTGCCCCTCCCTGACGTACGAGATTCATACGGGTGTGAAGGAGTACATCAAGGATGGCGAAGTCTTTTATATGCCGAACAAGCCCAAAATGGAGCCGCCTCGCATCTCCCTTGAGGGCCCGCAAGAGAATAGGAAGATCACGGCTAAGATCGATGTATCCAAGCTTGAGGAAAAGGAGCGCGTGTACAACAAGCACTACCCCAAGCAGCAGCCGTGCGTTATTATGCTGCGCTACCGCACGAAGGAGGTGCGTAAGAGGGACGGTGGCGGCAGCGGCGGTCTGGGCTCTGCGGAGGAGGGTGTCGAGCACACGGAGCACACTGCCGTCGACCTCGCCGACAACCCGAAGCGGCGCGTGATCAGTCAAATCATCACAGCTGGCGGGTCGGCGTACGTGGTAGAGGACCTCTTCGGCGTCGACGGTGACAACCCCGGCGCGGCAGGTGGCAACACGGAGGTAATGCTCGGCACCACCATCGTGCCACATGATGGCGAGGAGGAGGAGGATGGCCTGTGCGTCATTTGTCTCACCATGGCGAAGGACACGGCGGTGATGCCATGCCGCCACATGTGCCTCTGCAAGGCCTGTGCGGAAGAGTTGATGCGGCACACGCCCAAATGTCCCGTCTGCCGCGGCTCGGTCTCGACGCTGCTGCACATGCCGTCGCTGAGTGATGAGCACAACTACACCACCGCCCTCAACAACAACAGCAATAGCAGCAATGTGTGATAAGGGTGGCGATGGGAGCGTGTGCGTCTGTGGGTGGGTGCGTAGGCTTTGGGTGATCTGGCCGGATGACAGAAGGAACATATGAACAAAAACGCAAGGCAAACCAAGAAAAAAAAATGATGAAAAGAATAACACGAAAGAGTGCCAAGTTTGAGTGCAGAAAAGAAAACTGAGGAAAGAGGTGGGGGCGGGGAAAACCATCAAAAAGAATTGAAACGAAAAAGAAGCAACAAAAAACAACAGCAACAAAAAAAACTATCAACAAGAAGAGAACATCAAAATACAAGGGCCGAGAAGAATAACAAAAAGAGAAGGGTGCGCGTGTTGATATGCAGCGTACCACCGCCCTGTAGAAACTGCTGTTGCATTAGTAGTGATGTAGTCAGAAAGGCAGAGTGGAAGGTGAAGGAGTGGAAGCAAGAGGGAAGAGATGGAGCTGGAGGCGGTGGCGACGTTTTCTTCAGTACTTCATCCATTTTTTTTCCTTTTTTTTTATGTGATGTTTTTCTGCTTGTGTTTCTGGAGGTACGTCTTTGCTTTTGTAACGCTCCTCCTGTGCTCTTTTTGTAGTCCTTTGGAGGAATAAATGATGTGCTTCGACGCCGCTATTCCCGCTGCCTCTTCTTATATTTGCACTCTGCCTCCCCCCCCCTCCTCCCCCTCATTTCGCTCTGTCTCTCTTTGTGGCGTGGGCGTGTTACTGCACTTGCGCCCAACTGTGCAGGCAACACATAAGCGCGTGTACGCAATGAGAATTCCCTATTCCCCTTTTTTTTTCCTTCAAGGTCTCGAGCTGTAGCGGCAAGTGTGGATAGCCCCCGATTTTTGGTCTCGCTTCTACGGTGACTTTCTCTTGTGCTGCTTTGTTTGACGCGTTTTCTCTCTCCGTTCTCCGCCCTCTCTTTTCGCTCTCTCTTACCTCGTGCTTTTGTGGCGCAGGGTGCGTGTGGCACGATGCGAAGAGAAGACGGAGGAAACGAACGTGGGGGGGG